TACTACTACGACGACGACTACTACTACTACTACTACTACTACCACTGCTTCTACTACTACTACTACTACTACTACTACTACTACTACTACTACTGCTACTACTACTACTACTACTACAACTACTACGACTACTACTACCATTACTTCTACTACTACTACTACTACTACGACTACTACTACTACTACTACTTCTACGACTACCACTACTATCGGCGGTGGACGAACCTCCCTTTAGTAAACCTCCCCTCAATGAACACGGCCTGGAACCGAAACCGACGGAGCTAGACCCGCAAAAGTGACGGCCGGGACGCCCTCTCGCGAACCGAAAACGGCCAATTCCTCAATCGAAGTGTCAGGGTAGGAGGTCTGTCCACCCCCGATACTACAACTACTAGTATTACTACTACTACTACTACTACTACTACTACGGCTACTACTACTGCTACTACTACTACTACTACTACTACTACTACTACTACTACTACTACTACTACTACTACTACTACTACTACTACTACTACTACTACTACTACTACTACTACTACTACTACTACTACTACTACTACTACTACTACTACTACTACTACTACTACTACTACTACTACTACTACGATTACTACTACTACTACTACTACTACTGCTGCTGCTGCTACTACTACTGCTCCTACTACTACTCCTACCACTACTCCTACTACTACTACTACTACTACTACTACTACTACTACTACTACTACTACTACTACTACTACTACTACTACTACTACTACTACTACTACTACTACTACCAGCGGCGGGACACGATAAGCAAACGTTCTTGACCGTACGTCTGTGTGGACCTGGCGCGTGGGCGCCAGACCCACGGATCGGAGAAAGTACCCCCCGAAACATGGTGTGCCGCATGTTTTGGCAACGGGGCGGGCCGATGTGTTGCATGGAGGCGGGACCCGTCGCTTGTCCAAACGCCTTCAACCATGTTCGCGCTTCGTCGGTGAGCGATGGGCCGGGCTCACGCTCTGCCTGCCAACTTGATTGACTTCGACATTCGCTGCCCCAGGTGAGCGTTTTTTATTCAGCGCTTCGACATTGGGCGGAAGGGGGGGGGAAGGGGGGTCTGGCTCCCGACCTCTGCTTAGTGCGACTGTTTGGAACCGTGCGCCCTACGGGGGTGAGGCTCCACCCGCTCGAAAAATGCGCCCCCCCAAAACAGCCAAGATCTACTGCAAGGTGGTGGGAGGGGGAGGGGGGGGTGGGAGGCCCGCGCCGATCGGCAAAACAAGGAATAAAAAACGACCACCAGGACCTCGTCGGCCAACCTCATTGCTTCTTGCACCGCCTCGGAGGCCACCAGGGCCGCCACAGCGCCCCACAATCTGAAGCTCTCGCGCTCCTGCAGCCTCCTGTGCTCTTGTTGGCGCGCAGGCTCGAAGCGCTCCCCCTTCGCAAGTGCGCCAGGGAAACTTCCGTCCGAACCAGCAAACTGCACTGCTTGCTCCTCTACTCCCCACGAGACGGGAAGAAGAATATGCCGTGCACAATGAACACAGGTTTGCTCTCGACACGCGGCTGTACCATCATGGACGGGAAAGAATCGCTCCCATCAGCCAGGGCGGCCACAGACTGAAAGAGTGGCCAAAAATCTAACTTCTTCATAATCATACTTATCCGACCTATTATGCAGGTGAACGAATGTCTGAACCGAGCTTGGAGGCAAAGTTCAGCCCACATGTCAACATGGAAATGTTCGAGGTCGGCCTGATTGGCGCCCTCGTCTGACACAAAAATTACCCACTCGCGATGGGCGGGCGTCCAGAGAAACGACGGGTGCAACGATGAATCCAAACACGGCTCGAAAATCTTCCTCCAAGTGTACGCGTTGCCTGCCTGACCTGATGCCAGATCGGGTGACCACAAACTGCCATCGCTGACTGCACCGACGTGGTCTGACACTACCTGGGCATCATTGGGTCCGTGCCTGAGGGCTTGGTCGATGGCGCATCTCTCTGCAACAAGCGCCATCCACAAAAGGCCCCTCACACCGCCCGAACAGGAAGCCCTAAAGGGCCCCTCTCCACGGCCAAGCCACACCGCATTACTTCGGGATGGCGGCTGGCCTGGGAGGATGGGGATGTCCAACCTGGTGGAGGGTCGGGGGGGGTCGGGGTGCCCGAGGTGGGGTCCCTCCAGGTGCGGCCCGTGGGCATGAGCTTGCCGTGGCCCCTGGAGAGGTGGACGTGTGCTTGGGCTGTGGAGGAGCTGAAGCGGGAGGGCCCCGTCGCTCCGCACGGCCTGCCCTCCCCCCTCCCCAAGGTGGGCGTGCCGCCTCGCACCCCTTGCTGTTTGACGCGGATCGCAACCCCGCGATACCAGGCCGCACGAATCTACAGCTGACCAGTGGCGTCTCAGGGCCCAGAATCCCGAAGTGCTCCCTCTCCGACAGATGTCCTTCCTCCTCGTCACGTTGCTCCTCCTCCTCCTCCTCCCCCCCTCCTCCCCCTCCCCATCCCGCTCCTCCTCCTACTCCTCCTCCTCCTCCTCCTCCTCCTCCTCCTCCTAGTCCTCCTCCTCCTCATCCTCTTCCTCCTCATCCTCTTTCTCCTCCTCCTCCTTCTCCTCCTCCTCCTTCGCTTCCTCCTCCTCCTCCTCCTCCTCCTCCTCCTCCCTCCCTGCCTCCCTGCCTCCCTCCCTCTCCCTCCCTCCCTCCCTCCCTCTCTCCTGCTCCTGGGGTGACGAGGGCAACGACGACGACGACGACGACGACGACGACGACGACGACGACGACGACGACGACGACGACGACGGCGACGACGACGACGACGACGACGACGACGACGACGGCGGGGCGCCGCCTTCATGTTGAAGTTCGCGGGCAGCCGGAGCTCCTCCATGGGCACCAGCGCCTTGCGCCCCTCCTGTCCCGGGAGGGCGGGGGAGGGGGCGGGGGCGGGTCAGCCCGCGGGGGACGAAAAAAGGGGGGGGGACTAAGGAGAAGAGCACTGGGGGGGGGGACGCAAGGGGAGGAGGGGAGGCAGGGGGCGAAGGGGGCGGAGACGAGCAAGTCAAGTGAGGTAGTCGTACGCCCAATGGCCCGTCGGCGGGCGCTACATGATCTGAATTATTGCGCACTAGATGGATGAGGAAAGGGCGCGCGAAGGGAGAGAGGGACGCGAGAGAGAGAGAGAGAAGGACGACAAGGGGGACGAAGAAGGAAACGCGAGGAGGGGGAAACGCGAGAGGGGGGACGAAAGGAAGAGAAGGGGGGTAGCGAAGCAGCTCGCGCAGCTGGTTCCCCCAGCGCCTCCCAGCCAGCGCCGGAGGCGCCCACGCATCAAGGAGCCCGCCCTTCGTCCGAAACGAAACCAGCTGCATGCAGCAAAATTCGTGACACCCCCCTTGCCTATTCCCGTTAGGTCGGGCATGTCACCTTACAGGCGGATTTTGGGCGAAAAATGAAAATAGTCAAAACATGCCTCCAAATAGTCAAACATACGCAAAAAAAGATCGTCCCCTGACTACTGTTGGATCTTTGGATCTTTCCCCTGCAGAAAGGCAGGCCCGACTTAACTTCCCCCCCTTCCTTCCGACCCGAGACGAAAGACGGGAAATGGCTTCGAACAAGAACAGTCTGCTCGGGCTTCTTGGATTGGCGCTGGGCCGCACTCCCTGGCGCGCGGAGCGCGCCAGGACAGGCGGCATCCGCAGCGGATCTCAGGAAGCCACCTGTTCGCTTCCTTCCCGCCCTTCCCCCACTCCCCCCCTGCATCTCTCCCCCCCTTTTTTTCCTGCCCACGTCCGTCACTCTCGCCTTCATCCTGCTGCCGTTACTCATGTCGCCTCCTTCTGCTCCTCTTACTCTTGCCTCCTCCTGCTCCTGCCCCATCCCCTTTCCCTTTTGCATAACTCCTCCGCGTCGCGCCGCCAGACGTGCCGATCGGGTGGGCGAAGAGGTAGATTGGCACTCCCTGGCAAACTATGACCCTGAAGCTTGGAAGTTCCAACGGTTACACAGGAAGGGAACGAACGGGTACAAGCTTGAGGCTCTCGCCTTGACGACGCGCACGCTTGTCCTAGAGGCTCCCAACGAGAAGGAGAAGGGTGATGTTCGGGTCCCCCGACCAGTCATTCGGCAGCTGGGCCTCCTCCTGCATCCTCCTCCCTGCATCTCTCCTCCCGCCTACTCCATCCTGCCGCCTCCCTTCTTCCTTCTCCCTGTTCCCAACTACGGCGGAGGCATTTTAACTCTTCGAGCGGGCGCGAACACCCGCGTGGTCATGCCACGAATTCACGGGCGCTGCCGCGCGCCCGCGCGAACGGCGCGGGGCGGCGGCGGGCCCCGCGGCGTCCGAGGAGGGGGCGTTCACCTGCGCGGGCCTCTCGTCCTCGCCGCGCGCGGGGCCGCAGCGCCGAGCGCCCGCGCGCGGTCCCGCTCCCCGCGCGCCTGGGCTGCCTCGCGCCCTCGGGCGCGAGCGTCCTCCGCCGACGCGAAGCCGTGCGCGCGGAGGACGCCCTCCAGGGCGGGCACGAAGAGCTCCTGCTCGCCCTCGCGCTCCACGGGCTGCACCGCCGCCGCGGCCGAGGACGCCGAAGCACTCGTCGACGCCGCAGCCGCTCCGCCCGCAGGGCCAGCCACGCCAGCTGCGCGGCCAGCTGTATGCTGCGCTGCCGCAGGCCTTGGCGAGTCGCCAGGGAAATCTTGGATAAGGAATCCAGGGTCTGGAAGCCAGCGGCACTCCAATTGTGGGCCGGCCATGGGTATCGCCACCGCCCTCATAAGATAAGGAATCCTCCAGGGTCTGGAGCCTCCTGGACGTATTCCTTAAACCAACGCCCCCACCGTAGTGTGTCCTTTCATCCTCTGCTATCCCCTACTCTGTCTGGTACCTCTTCCCGCCGACAGTATCCTCCTTCTCCTCTTCCGCAGGGTCATGAGCAGCAGCATCCGCATCAGCATCATCATCAGCATCAGCATCATCATCAGCATCAGCATCATCAGCATCACCAGCATCATCAGCATCGTCATCAGCATCAGCAGCATCAGCATCACCATCATCATCATCAGCATCAGCAGCATCAGCATCAGCACCAGCATCATGAGCAGCATCATCAACATCACTTCAACATCTTCGGACGCAACATCGGCCTCCTCGTCATTATCGTCAGCATAAGCATCAGCATCAGCATCATCATCATCATCAGCAGCAGCAGCCTCGTCAGCGTCATCATCGGCATCAGCACCATCAGCAGAAGCATCAGCATCATCAGCAGCACCATCATCATCACCATGACCATCATCATCAGCAGCATCATTGCCATCATGGTGAATGTCAGCATCACCATCATCGACATCGCCATCGTCATCATCGTCATCATCAACATCATCATCAACATCATCATCAACATCATCATCAATATCAGCATCAGCGTCAGCAACCGCGTCGTCACCATCATCAGCATCAGCAACGGCATCATCAGAAGCAACATCGTCTGCCTCGTCGTCATCGTCAGCATAAGCATTCGCATCATCATCATCCTCATCATCAGCATCGCCAGCATCATCACCAGCATCATCATCATCAGCAGCACCATCGGCGGCAGCACCACCATCGGCATCATCATCAGCATCATCATTGTCAGTATGATTAACCGCATCGCCACCAGCATCGTCACCATCATCATCATCATCATCATCATCATCATCATCATCATCATCATCATCAGCATTATCGTCAGCATCGTCATCGTCATCGGCATCGTCATCGTCATCGTCATCGTCATCATCATCCCCCATTCCACGTGTCCACCCTCACCCCTCTCGGTGAGCAAGCGCGGTCCAGGAAACCTCATCCACTTCTCCCTCCCCCCTCCATGGTTTCAAACTCCTCATCGCTCTTCCTGCCGCCTGGCCGAGGCGCCGCAGTCTATCCCCTGCCGCCCCACAGCTGGGCGGACCAAAGGCAGAAGCCCATCAGCTCCTTCGCGCCGAAGGGGCCGTTCGAGCAGCGAGCACTCTGCTCAGATCGCGCCTAAGAGAAAGTAAGCCACCATGGGAAGATCAAGAGAATCCCGAGGCGGATCTAGCACCCCGAGGCGGCCAAGAGGGTCCCAAGGAAGACGGCGAGGACCGAGGGTGGGCATACACAAGAAAGGCGTCACCAATAGTGGTGTAATTGCTCGTCTCTTCCGTAGGCCCTGGAGGACCCCAACCCAACGTACAGCACGCGTCAGCCGCCTCAGAGTTCTGAAGCGGCATCGGGTGAGCCAGCTGTTGGAAATCGTACGAAGCCACGCTGAGGCCAAGGCAGGCTTCAGCGCGGCAGTAACTCGCTGCTCCTCGTCTGGTCCCAGGTTGGATCAGATGCCTTGGGGTAAGGTGCAGCGAATTGCTGCCGCGCTGGCCCCAATCGGAGGCGTTTGAACTCCACATCTCTCTACTACTCCCCCCCTCCCTCCTCCTTCCTCTGCTCCTGATCATGCAACCCATCCTTCTCCCTTCTCCATATCACCATCCCTCCTCCCCCTCCTCCTCCACCTCCTCCTCCTCCACTTCCTCTTGACCAAGATTACCTGCGGCATCAGCAACGTCCAAATCATCACCATCGCCAACATCACCATTGCCGTCGTCATCGCTACTATAATAACAGTCGCTGGATAACCGTCGTCATGAGCATCATACTCATCATCACCACTAGCACCATCACCATCACATCAACATCACATCATCACATCATCACATCATCCCTGCATCATCAAACTGATCATCATCGTCATCAACATCAGCAGCAGCATCATCAGCAGCACCATGAGCATCGTCACATCCACCTCCTGCATAGATGGCGTCACCTGATCCACGGTAACGCCCGATGGCAAGCTTGAGGCTGGCGATCCTTCTCGGTGACAGCCATCTCGGCTGGGAAGCGCTGCGGGTCGCAGGCACGACTGAAGCGCTCCTCGAAGACGGCCTGGGCTGGCGGAGGCAGCGAGCTTCTGGCGGGACGACGACAACGACGACGACGACGACGACGACTCAGAAGACCACGACTCAGACGACGAAGACGACCACGACGACGACGACGACGCGGATGAGGTTAAAGAGGCGGGATCGGAAGCGAGCGTCCCCTAAGGAACCATGCGCGGAAACCTGGCGACGACCTTGAAGGCCCTCTTCTCCTGCACAGCATCGAAGAGTGGCAGAGGAGGATTCGGACGCACACAACGGGTACGGAACACATTGGCACAATACCCAACAGCGAAGGCTGCGCAACACCGACAGCGGTCGCTGTTGGGACGGCGGTCTTCTGTATCAAGCCAACATCATCCGCAACGACACCGACAGCGAATCCTGTTCAGAATGGGCAGTCGGTCTCCGTAACCAGTCGTTTCATCTCCACTCCTCTGACACCGAGAAGACGAAGAGGCCCGCAGACGCTCACCTGGGCCGGCAGCGGGGGAGAAGGAGGGTGTGCTTCCCGTGCGGACATCAACCACCAGTGAATTGCGCCCTCGTGCAATCTGGAATGGAGCTCGAACGTGCCGAATCACAAACACCAGCAGGGAAGGAAACGATTGCTTGATGGCGCGGTCCAGGTGGACTGTAACACACCTTTTGCTGAAGGAAGTCCATTAGAGACTTGAGACCAAGCACAGGGTTCCGTGCTTACTTCTCGAGGCCTCGAGTGCTGTTGTGAGAAAAGTAGCACTTGCATCGAGTACATGCGACGAGACGACGAGCTCCGCACTATCACTAGAAATAAATGGGGAGGAGAACGACGAGGAGGAAGAGGAGGAGGAGGAGGAGGAACGACACTGGCCAGCAAGGGAAGGGCGGAAAAGGGAACAAAGACGATCCGAAGAAAGATGACAGAGAAGAAACAATGGAGAAGATGAAGCCTGGCGGAATGAGGAGCGAGGAGAATCGGGGAAGGGACGAGGAAGAGAGAGGAGGAGGAGAGAGGAACAGACACGATGAGGACGGGGAGGGGGAGGGGGAGGAAGAGAACAAGGAGGAGGATGAGGGGGAGGAGGGGGGAAGGCGGGGGGGAGGTCACCTTCATCATTATCAGCAGCATCATCATCAGCAGCATCATCATCGTCGTCGTTATCGCCAGCAGCAGCAACAGCAGCAGTATCATCATAATCAGCGGCATCATCACCATGCCCATCCACATCCTCATCCTCATCCGCATCATCCTTCTTTACCTCTACAGCATCGTCCTCATCCTATTCATCTTCATCAATCATGTCTCCCTCCCTCCCTCGCTCTCTCTGTCTATCTCTCTCTCTCTCGAACCAGCCCCCCCATCCCCCCATCACAAACTGCCTCCTCCTCCTCCTCCTCCTCCTCCTCCTCCTCCTCTGCCTCCCATCCCTCTCGCGCGCCCGTCGGGGCCTGCCGCTTCTTCCTGCCCATCTTGCCTCTGATGTGATGGGCCACCTGGCGCGCCGTGCCCATCAGGCGTCAGAGATAGCGGGGACCTGCGATGAGGAACGTGTGCTCAGCGCGCCGGGCAGCTAGCTCCGTCACACCACGCTTCGGCACGACGCGCTCGCCTCGCCCCGACCAAAACAAACCGCATCTACCCATCGGTCGGAAGAAGTAGGTAGAAACATGAAGTAGGAAGGCGTTGGAAATAGATTGGGTATCCGCCCGCCTCCTGAAGAGGAAGGAAGAGGGAAAACCACTCGACTCTTGAAGTAGGAAGGCGCTGAAAGTAGATTGGAATCTGGGAATCCAAAAATACCTACTTTCAACGACCAGTGGGTATGTCGTTCCGAGCTTGTCCCATCCCTCCGACTCGGCGAAGCGGAGCGACACGCTATCAGCCTGCAAGGCACAGCATGTCGCAGGGGCCGCCGCCGCGACGCGCCGAGCAGCACCTCCTGACCCAAGGGCGCAGCGCACCGCGAGAGCCCTTCCGAACCCGCGCCGCCGCACGTAGGACGGCGGCGAAGGCAGGGGAGGCGCAGGAAGAGGAACAGGAGGAGGAGGAGGTGGAAGCGGAGGAGGGGCGAGGAGCGAGGAGGGGGAGCAAGCGGGAGCGAGGAGGAGCAAGGATAATGAAGAGGAGCGAGGAGGAGGTGAGGGAAGAAGGAGAGAGGAGGGAAGAGGAGGGAGGAGGAGCGACAAGGGCAAAGGAGGGCCGACCAGGAGCGAAGAGAGGAGCGACCCTTCCCCCTTCTCATCCTCCTCCTCCTCCTCCTCCGCCCCTCCTCCTCCGACTCCCCCTGTTTCCAGCGGGATACTTTGTCCAGCGCAAAAACGCTTACAGAGCCTGTGAAGAGGAAACTTGAAGCCAAAGTTGATTGAAATATCGGTGATGGGTCTTGGGTGTACACTGGTCCTCCTCCTCCTCCTCCTCCTCCTCCCTCCTCCTCCTCCTCCTCCTCCTCCCCTCCAACACCTCCTCCAACTCCTCCTCCTCCTCGTTCCTCTCCTCCTCCTCCTGCTCCTCCTCCTCCTCGTGCTCCTCCTTCCTCCTCCTCCTCCTCCTCCCCCTCCTCCTCCTCGTACTCCTCCTCCTCTTCTTCATCCTGTTTCTTCTCCCCATCCTTCTCCTCCTCCTCCTCCTCCTTCTCCTCCTCCTTCCCCCTCTTCCTCCGCCTCCTCCTTTTGCTCCTCTTCCTCCTCCTCCTCCTGCGCCCCCACCTGAGGCAGTGTCCGATGGTCACATCAGTGCCTCTTAAAGAGTCGGGCCATGCGAGAGCAACTCTCCCCTGACTCCTGGCCCGACCGCTTTTCCACCAGCCCTGGGCCAGTGGGCACAAACTACAAAATTGAAAGAGAAAGGCCTGGGATCCAGTTCGAAAGCTAGGCCACCCTCCCCCTGGCAGGCTCGACCGACAAACCCAGCGGGCAGTCGTCGGTGGGCGGTCAGGAGGAAGACAAAATGACCGCACCTTCAAGCCTCCTTCTCATCATGCCACTGCTTGACACCTTTAGGCTTCCTGCCCAAGTCTATCAGCTGAAGGGTCAATGTCACCTCCTTGCTGAGCCCTGGAGCACAAGGGCTAGCTAACTTCAAGAAACGCGAGCTGCCCTGTGCTGCACATGCCCTGCAAAACCACAGGCCTCTAGATTGCCCCAGTCTATGTGCGCCGTGGATAGCACACGGCTTCTTCTCACACATCGTCTCACAAAATTGGATCAGCCCAGCGTTGCTGGAAGATCTTAAACAAAACTGACACTGAAACCTTTCTTGGTTTGCTCTAAAGCATGGGAGATCCCTCGGGTCGCCGCCGCTCGGGCCTCACATTGGGCCTTGGCGTTGTGATTCCTCCTGGCGGCGACATCCCCCTTGAGAGTGGTTCCGTGCAAATCTGCAGCTTGCTTGGCCGCCTCGGGGCCGATGGTTATGAGCCTCTTCTGGGCTATCCACGCTAATTCGCCTGCTTCTCTGACCTGGAAAAATAAAGCCACACTAGGTACTGCGTCTTTCGCGGCTTCCTCCGCTCTTACGCCGGCTTCGGCGTTGGCGTACCAGTGTGTCTCACTGATCGATATCCCATCCCCGATCCACTCAAGTGGCTTTTAACTTTACAATACGAAAAGCGGTCCTCTCGGGCCTGGGTCTCCGACCAAAACTCGACCCTTAGATCTGCATTAGAACGGTGAACTGCCGTGGGCCCCTGATGGATCCCCTTGATTACATAACTGGCGTCAACTACTGCTGTGACATCCCCTGTTGTTGACTGTAAGGCTCGAACTACTGCTAGCAACTCTGCTCGCGGTGCTGCCTGTCTGGGTCCCGCTACACTACCTCGCTTGGCCGCCTTGACCTCCTTTCCGACACAGACGACGAACGACCATCCAACTCTTCGGAGTCTGGCCTCCCGCGAGTGCTCACCTCCTGGCCCATCGGAACCTATGACGGAGCCTGGAGGGAACGGTAGACGGTCCGATTCTGGCCAGTCTCCTTCGAGCGTGACCTCTCCAACTGGAAACGGGAGATCTGGCCCTGCCATGGTCCACAAGATTGGGACCAAGCCCCTACGCCAAAAACAGGGAAACCTACGTACCCCTTCTGCTGACTGGGCTACTAGGTCGCGGTCTTCACTAAGTTCTGGGGTTTCGCTGTTGCGCGGGCACTCAAAAAAACTGGCGGGGCAAACTTTCTTCCAGTGCCCCACGCCTCGGGCAACGCGGTGATCCCAGGCGGGCGCGTTCAAACCTTCGCGTCGCAGGCCGCAAGGCCCCCTGGCTGACCACCTCTAAAACAGCGGCAATAGCATTGCGCCCTTTCCTGCGCAAGCTCTCGAGGCGGGCCCAAGTCACAGTAAGATCCACGCCGAACTCGGCCCCAGCACCCTCGACATGTTTACTGGCTTGGGCCCGCAAACTTTGTTCCAGGGCGGACCCAACCTCAAACTTCAAAAGATCTGGTCCTTCGGGGCCTTCGAAGTTGAATTTCTCTCCACTGGGCATGGCCCGCCCCCCTGGCGAACCCGGGGTCCAGTTCGTATATAGTAGCGTGGCCTGTACTGCTGCCGAGTGGCCCCGCACGTCTTGCCAGCGGTTCTCCACTCCCCGCAGCTTCTGCCGGGACCCCTGCCACGCGAGGCTGATCCCGTCGCGCCACTGAGCCATCCTAGGGAGGCGTTCCTGCCAGGACAAAAAGAGCTCCTTGGGGCCCCAAAAAAGAGGGTCACTGATCTTTCCTAAACTAATCCAAGTGGCGGCGGTCGTACATCCACCTGCCCACGTGCTACCACACATGGCTGAAACCTGGGCTCTGAGTTGCTTGGGCGTCGTGGGCGCAAGGCCCATGGCGACAGCTCCCCAAGAGACCTGGGGCTTGAGCTCCATCTTCGCCAGCTGTTTGGCCTCTCGGGCCACTCTACCCAAGAACTTCACCGCTCTGGCTCTCTGGGAGCCTTTCCCCTGTCTAGGTTTGATTACCCCTTGTCTCCTAGCCCCGCTGGCGACGTCGACCCCCAAGCCCCTGGCCTTCACCTCCACGCTGACGGGGAGGTGCATATCTTTGATATCCTGGCGGAGGTCGGCTCTGAGCTGTGGGGCACGGGCCAACGCCGCCGATATCTGAGAAATCCCCAAGCCCTTTGCCGTCATAGATCTGACAAGAACCGCTGCCACAGACGCTGCTTGCGTCAAAACTGAACGATGGCTCCCGATGCTTTGCTGCGCTAAGTCGCCCACCCAGCTTCCAATCTGATTTGTGGGCGGTGGGTACTTCTTGTGCGCCTCGCCCATCACATCCCAAAGGTACATGCGTGACCACGCAACACTTTGCATACATCCTGCTATGATCGAGTTGTTTGAATACACGTTGCCAGAAAGGAACCTGCCCACTGCCAACCACCTATCTGCGGTATGTTGTAGGAGCGCAAAGTAAAAAGGAACGAGTGGGCACTGCAAGGATCGAGCCAAACTCGCCAACGTTGAAGGTTTGGATGAGATCGCAAGGAAACGGATTCAGTTGATGCCCAGGAGCCCGCACGCTTCAGCTTTTAATTGTCTGAGGCCAGCAGCCCTCAGTGGGCTGCTGCCTTTGACCGCCGAATCCCATAAGCCTGATTTCTGCCTCTCCCAAGTGGTGACGGGCTGCTTCCTCAGTATACTCCAGAGCCGATATGGGCCAGGCGTGAGCGTGATATGCATATCTCCTCCTGGAGGGGGCTTCGGGGTCATAGCTACAACATTAATAAGTGCCTGTTCAGGCCATACGAGTTCTGTTTCAACTTGTCGGGGGACTTCTCGGAGGTCCCGTTTGCCTTCACGGGGTAATTGTAGCATTCTCGTGGGTTCCATGGGTCTGCTCCTAGGCCTGCATGTCCTCGGAAATATCTCATGCCCTGTTTCGGGTTCTCCTCCTGCTCCTCCCTGTTCCTCCGCCTAAGTTGTCGCAGCCAGTCGGGGGAGGTCTGCTTCTGCTGTCCGACGGTCCCGTTCCAGAGCTTGGCCCATCTGAGGGCCTTCTCCTGCATAACGGCCATCGGCTCCACAACCTCCAGCCCGCCAGGGCCAATCTCGACCCCCAGGGAGGCCTCTGGTCGTTGCCAAGTCCTGGAAAACCGGCGCGCCCAGCTTGCCCCTGTGTCGAAGCCCTGCTGCAGGAACTTTGCGAAGCCCTCACTATTCTCCTTCATGGCTGCTAGACTAACTTTGGCTAGGTATGTTTCGAGTCGTTCAGCAACTTCCTGAGTCGATCTGGCTCAACTGGCGAAGCTCGTATGTCCGCCAGTAACTTCTGGCACAAGTCCTGCGCCATCTCTGGGAGCTGGACTATGTTAGCGTCAACATCTGGGTCGTGTGCCCAGGCAGCTATCTGTCTGCAGATGGCCCTCTCCTGGTTTAGCTCCTTCTCCTCCTTTCCTCTTTTGCCCAATGTGTAGAGCTCCTGCAGCGTGGACCTAATGCCTCCCCAGAGGCAAACCACTTTTGAAAGTCCGAAGTGGCCTGGAGGTTCCCCTTGGAGA